GAGTTGGATGGTGACTGGGCCCTGGCAGTCTCAAATACATTGTTGCTTGTGTCCAGCCCCAGTGTAGAGAAGACTCAGACATTCAGGGCTCCTGGGTGCCCCCTTTTCTTCTCCCTTCCTAGGGTCTACTCTCCAGGGTGAACAATCTTCTTCTGGACACTTGAAGCATCTAAGGGAGGGTCCTAAGAGAGACAGACAGGAGCAGCACAAGAACTTAGCCAAGACGCCATCTTTCTTCCCTTACAGAGGTGGCCAACTAGGAGGCACTCTCTGTGGTGCTGGTGACGCGCGAAAGCGGTCCAGAGCCATGGAAGGTGAAGACGTGACAACAAGCGCAATAACAGGTCAGCTCAGAGGTAGCCAGAGTGGAGGAGAAGAGGGAGCAACTTGTAAGTTGCCGGAGGCATGGCTGGGGATTTGGAACTGGGATGGGGAGGAAAAGTTCTGCAGGAGAGCCCTGAGAGCATACATGGGCCCATTAAAGAGTTCACGGGTGTGAAAAGCCCCGTCAGAGGTCAGAAAGATGGCTCAGTGGTTAGGAGCACGGGTTACTTACGCTCAGAGTTCAGTTTCCAGAGCCTAGGTCATGCAGCTCACAGCAACCCGCGACTGCAGCCCCAGGGAGCCCTGGCTTTGCAGGGCTCCTGTGTGTTCATCCGAGTGTGCTTACCCTCACACAGACACACATGGACCTGACTTTAAAGAGTAATCTTCACAACTCTGCTTGGGATTTCCTCTCATTTACTTATTTGTTTTATGTGTGTGGGGGCCGTGGATGGGTGTGCACCTGTTGTGGAGTGCATGTGGAGGTCAGGGGATGAACTGAGGTGGTGGGTTTTTCCTACCACGTTGGGTCAGGGCTGTCAGGCTTGGAGGGGAGAGCCTTTGTCAGCTGAGCCATCTTCTCAGCCCTGTTTTGGGTTTTTATTTAAAAACAACAACAACAACAAAACCAAACAAACACATGGACTGTGGTTAAGGAATGGATGGTAGTGTCCTCACCTAATTCCTGTGTTGGTACCCAAACGCTCAGTATGACTGGACTGGAAGCCAGGCTTGGGGAGGTGATTACAGTCAGATGAGGTCATAGACGGCGGCTCAATATGATAGGAGCAGTGCCTTATAAGAAGAGAAAGGGACTGCCGGGCATTGGTGGCGCACGCCTTTAATCCCAGTACTCGGGAGGCAGAGGCAGGCGGATCTCTGTGAGTTCGAGGCCAGCCTGGTTTACAGAGTGAGTTCCAGGACAGCCTCCAAAGCCACAGAGAAACCCTGTCTTGAAACCCCCCCCAAAAAAGAAGAGAGACACCAGAGCCCCGCCCCCATCTCTGTGTTCCTAGGAGAAAGGCCATGTGAGGCCACAATGAGAAGGCAGACACCTGCCAGTCCCTGGGACACTTTGATCTGGAATTTCCAGCCTTCAGAATAGTGAAGAGTACCATTGCATTGTTGGAGCCTCCAGGATAGTGAGAGTGCCAGTCCATTGTTGAAGTCACCAGAATAGTGAGAGTGCCATTCCATTGTTGGAACTACCAGAATAGTGAGAGTGCCATTCCATTGTTGGAACTACCAGAATAGTGAGAGTGCCATTCCATTGTTGAAGTCACCAGAATAGTGAGAGTGCCATTCCATTGTTGAAGTCACCAGAATAGTGAGAGTGCCATTCCATTGTTGGAACTACCAGAATAGTGAGAGTGCCAGTCCATTGTTGAAGTCACCAGAATAGTGAGAGTGCCAGTCCATTGTTGGAACTACCAGAATAGTGAGAGTGCCATTCCATTGTTGGAACTACCAGAATAGTGAGAGTGCCATTCCATTGTTGGAACTACCAGAATAGTGAGAGTGCCATTCCATTGTTGGAACTACCAGAATAGTGAGAGTGCCATTCCATTGTTGAAGTCACCAGAATAGTGAGAGTGCCATTCCATTGTTGAAGTCACCAGAATAGTGAGAGTGCCATTCCATTGTTGAAGTCACCAGAATAGTGAGAGTGCCATTCCATTGTTGAAGTCACCAGAATAGTGAGAGTACCAGTCCATTGTTGGAGCCTCCAGGATAGTGAGAGTGCCATTCCATTGTTGGAACTACCAGAATAGTGAGAGTGCCATTCCATTGTTGAAGTCACCAGAATAGTGAGAGTGCCATTCCATTGTTGGAGCCTCCAGCCTGTAGAATCCTGGCAGCCCTAGCAGATGGACACAGCTGTCAGTCCGCTTCTTTTTTCTTGTGTTTCTTTGAGATCCCCTTTATCCGAGGTTGTTTTGTGCAGCCACTGGGGAGTCACAGGGATCCACATGAATCCATGGAAAGCAGAATACATAGCCTCCAGGCTGCCTACCACGTGCGTGCGCCTCCATGTGAGGATGGTCTCTATCTTGGCAAAGCAGAGGCAGAAGTGACAGGAGACCATCAGTTGTCCGGAGGAGCTGGCTGTGAGTGGTAGACCCCACCCCCATTCCCAGGCAGAGACCTCACCATTGTATTCACGAACTTAGCTTGCAGTGAGCTGAGCAGGCAACTATTTTGATTTTAGAGTCACCGCTTACAAGCTATAGGGCTTGGGAAAGCTACTTCAAGCTGTCTGAGCCTCAGTTTCCTCCTGTGTAATCTGGGGATAATATTTATTACTGCCTCCTGTGGGTGTTGTGAGGGCCAAAAGAGCTTGCATGCACCAAACATATAGCCTTATGTAGCATTCGATAATGCAACCCAGATCGTGCTGGGTGTAATCACCAAGTTCCAAATCAAGAATGGCCATTGTGAAGCAGCCTTTAAGAGTGAATATTGGAGGGGAAAGCTTGGCTTCTCTTCAACTCTCACTTGAACGTGCTGCAGTGGAAGGTGTTGACTCAACCGTCTGCTTCCACTGCCTGTGGGGGCAACAGGGAAAGAGACAGGGCCACCCAGGCAAGCAGCAGAAGCCATACCCGAAGCTAAGTGGAGCCCTCCCTTGGTGGTGGCTTTTTGGATCACTAGATATTCTAGTTTTGCTACAAAGGCTAGAATATCAATTTTCTTCAAGGAGAAGCTTTTGAACTTTTAGCTGGTACAAAAAACTTCAGGGGATCTGGGCGATGGTGGCACACACCTTTAATCCCAGCACTCGGGAGGCAGAGGCAAGCAGATCTCTGTGAGTTTGAAGTCAGCCTGGTCTATAAAGGGAGTTCCAGGACAGCCTCCAAAACAATACAGAGAAACCCTGTCTGGAAAAACCAAACCAAACCAAACCAAACCAAAACAAAACAAAACAAAACAACAAAATCCCAAAAACTTCAGGGGTTACTCAAGAGCAGTCTAAGGTGGCCAGTTTGTGCCTCTAGTGGCCTAGGAAGGTCAGCATGAGACAGGAAACGTGTTCATAAAGTCCCTCCTTGCTACCCTGAAGTAGCACTGGAGGAATGAGGGAGAGAGGTCTTCATGGAAGAGGAGGCTGTGTTTTGGCTGAAAGACAAACCTTCCATTTGTACTGGATGGTTTTTGGAGGGTGTGGTGGGAGGTGAGGCCATGTGTGAAGAAAGCAGCCATTAATGTCTGCTCTCTTCTCTGCTCAGCACATCGGCTGTCTGCTGCCTCCCTCAGCAAAATGTGCCTTCAAGAAAGACCCCAAGTCTGGTTCCATGGCAGCAAGTCCTCCCTCCCATAGAGCTTTGCTTTATATGGAGCTCAAGGAGAGAGCTTTCGTACTGGCATCTCTGGCACCAGCTGGCAACTGTGACAGGATTCCAGGCGATGATCTCACGAACCTGTACACTGTCATCACCCTCCCCGGCACTGCTTCCCCCACTTCAGCCTGACCTACTTCTGTCTCTGAAATCACACTCCTAGATGGCCACCTCCTTCACTCCAAAACACGTGCTGCAGGGAGAACACAGTGAGGAGTATCCATCCCTCACGTCCCACTGCAAGCAAAATCACACTGCAAGCCACCAGAGCTCAGTGTGGGGGTTGTACAGAAAGGGCAATGGCTGCTGTGGAGGCAGGGATGGCTCCAGGGAGTAAACAGACACGCATTGCCAAGGAATGAAGATGTGGGGCGCACTACTCAGCAGCTCAGTGCCTCAGACAAGCACTAGAAATGGTTGCATATTAGTACACATTAGTTAGGATTCTCTACGTAAACAGAACCCCATTCGGATGGATATGTATTACGGAGCACATTGATTAGATTGGCTTGCAGGATGTATGTAGTCCAGCAATGGCTGTCTGTATGCTAGCGAGGCTGAGAACCCAGTGGTTTCTTATTAGGCCACCAGGCTGGATACTCAGCAGCCCCAATCTGGTGCTGGAGGTCTGAGGAATCCTGGAGAGTCGCTGGTGTTTTGTCCTTGCAGGGAAGCCAAAGATGATGGGTTCCAAGGTCAGTAGCAGAAAGGGAAGAACACATTTACCAGCAGAAGCAAAGGCAGTCTGGGAGTGCTGACACATGTGAGTTTGATGCCAGCATGGTCTACATATGGAGTTCGGGCCAGCCAGTGCCATATGGCAGGACTTTGTATTAAAAACACAAACAAACAAAAGACAAAGGCATGCCAGTGTTACTGTGACCTTTTTCTGTCTAGGCTATGCTGACAGGTACTCTCCCCTCTGCAGGAGACCTTCTCTCAGTTAATGCTTCCTGGTAGCATTCTCACAGAACTGCCCAGAGGTCTCTTAGTTGACCCTAGATCCAATCAAGTTGAAAACTGAGGTTAATTAGCATCACACAGTGAGCGCCCAAACTGTGTAACCTCACAATTCTCCTGTGGATTCTGTGATCTCAACACCCGAAGCCCTGAGTGTTCAGAGATGGGATCGTAACCCAGGCTGGCCAGAGGTGTTGTAAGGGAGGATGCTTGAGTCTGCTGAATCTGAACCTGAATTTCCCCCAGAGGCCCCATGTTGGAATTTTCCCCCACCCATGTGGTGCCTTTGAAAGTTGGTGGACCTTTAAGAGGCGGGGCCTAGTGAGAGCTCTGCTGCTCTCTGGGGGTGTTGAAAGGAAGTGGAACCAGCCTCTTCGTTCTTCCTTTCTTTGGGCCTGGGATCATTGGGATGCTTGCCCCGCCCTTCCAGCTTGATGGGGTCCAGAGTGATGGGCTACCTGACCACAGCCTGGCACCTCTCAAACTGAGCCACAGTGGCCTTCTCCTCCTCATAGGTGGACTTATTGCCGAGATTTGTCACAGGAATAGAAGTCTGGCAAAGGAAGGTCAGACACATGGGAAAACAGAAGCAGAGCACAGAGCATGTGAACAGGTAACGAGAGGGCAGCTGTCTGCAAGCCAAGGGGGAGAGGCCTCCCAGGAGCTAAACTTGTCAACACCTTGGTCTCAGATTTCCAGTGCTCAGAACTCTAAGAAAGTAAATTTCAGTTGTTTAAACTGCTCAGTCTGTGGCATTTTGTTACGGGGGCCCTAGAAGAAAACAATACATATACCAACAATTTTTTAAAAAAAATTAACTGGCTAGGATAAGTCAGCTGGTTTCCATTGCTACTGCTGGTGCCGGGAAGTACAGCGCCAAATGGCCACTTGGAGTGACCACAATGACTGGATGGAGCCCACATTTTGGGAACATGATACCTGATCAGTGTAGGAGGGGGAGTCAGAGGTGTGGAGAGTGGGGGTGTGGTGAGTGAGGAGAGTGGACACTGAGGGTCCCAGAGAATGGGGCGGTGTGGAGACTGGGGGCATGAGACTTGGGAGTATGCAGAGAGTGTGTATGGAAAATTGGGGGTGCTGAGAGTGGGGGGCATGGACAGTGGAGGGTCTGTTGTATCCCTTGAAGAGAAGGTGGTTCTGGGGTATAAAAAAGATTTGCTTTCTCTCTAGATCCCCACATTCTAATTGAGGTTCACTGCAATGGGTGATGTCTGGGACACTTACCTTCTAAAGTGTGTGTGCTTGCAGGAGACAGGGCTGAGGAGTGCCCACACATCTGCCTTTTAGTAAGGAACACATAAGGAAAATTTTTATTTGTGCGTGTATGTATGTATATATGTGTGTGTTTGTGTGTATATGTGTATATTTGTGTGTGTATATGTGTATGTATGCATGTGTATGTGTGTGTGTTTGTATGTGTACAAATGTGTATGCGTGTGTATGTGTGTGTATGTATGTGTGTGAGTATGTGTATGTGTGTGTGTGCGTATATATGTGTGTATGTATGTGTGTGTGAGTATGTGTATGTGTGTGCATGCGTATATATGTGTCTTTGTATGTGTGTGCATGTGTTCATGGGAGTCAGGAGAGGGCTGGTTCCATGGAGCAGACGCAGAAGAAGGGGAAGGGGAATGCTGCTGTGGATCTGGTTTTCTCCTGTTCCCCCTTTCAATCAAGCTGGGGCCCAGCCATGGCATGGCTCCACCCACATTTAGAGTAGACCTTTCCTCCTCGGCCAAACCTCTATGGAAACACCCTCACAGATGCCTCCAGAAGTGTGCTTCCTAGATAATTGGAAATACGGTCAAGTTGACAACCATGATTAGCTATCACACCATCCAGCCTAGCCTGGCTCAGGCTCCAGACAGTCCTGCAGGGGACCCAGACTCCCTGAGAGAAGCTCAGCTATGAGGTGATGGCTAGAATCCACACACTATCAGGACTGCCAGCTACTCCAGATGTCCATGGGTATGCTCCAGATGTCCACCATCCCATGTCATGTGTTAAAAATGGTTACTATGTCAAAGCTTCCTTGGTTCCACAATGTTTTCCAAGCTTGGTTCTATGTCTTGGACCCTGATCCCCAGATTACTCCTTTCTTTCTTTCTTTCTTTCTTTCTTTCTTTCTTTCTTTCTTTCTTTCTTTTTTTTTTTTTTTTGTTTTGTTTTTTCGAGACAGGGTTTCTCTCTATTGTTTTGGAGCCTGTCCTGGAACTCACTTGGTAGACCAGGCTGGCCTCGAACTCACAGAGATCTGCCTGCCTCTGCCTCCCAAGTGCTGGGATTAAAGGCGTGTGCCACCAATGCCCGGCTCTGATTACTCCTTTCAATGAGGAAAGCTGGGCTGACCACTAGGCACTGGGCCCTTGGAGAGGAGTGTGTTGATAAAGGCAAGCACTTCCCAGAGCAAAGACCTCAGGACAGGGAATGCATTGCCGAGGAAGCACTCCTGAGCACTCTACTCACAAGGAACACTCCTGAGCACTCTACTCACAAGGAGGGCACTGCAGAGGCCTGAACACAGGGCTGTGCAACTAGCAGGGGAGGGGAGCACTCCCGAGCACACAACCTTAGATTCAGAGCACACTGCTGAGGAGGGGGAGCACTCCTGAGCACACAACCTTACATTCAGAGCACACTTCTGAGGGGAGCACTCCCGAGCACACAACCTTAGATTCAGAGCACACTGCTGAGGGGAGCACTCCTGAGCACACAACCTTAGATTCAGAGCACACTGCTGAGGGGAGCACTCCTGAGCATACAACCTTAGATTCAGAGCACACTTCTGAGGGGAGCACTCCCGAGCACACAACCTTAGATTCAGAGCACACTTCTGAGGGGAGCACTCCCAAGCACACAACCTTAGATTCAGAGCAATTGTTGAGGAGAGCACTCTTGGTATGATTGAGCTCAGGAGGGGGTGCCCTTCACCTTTAGGCCCATGATAGAAGATACTGCCCCAGAGCAGGGCTCAGGCAGCAGCACTTAGCGGCAACCCTCCCGGATTCCTCAAGGTGGGTGTGATTAATATAATGGCTCCAAGTTCCAAGCAAGGAGAAAGGTGCGAGTGTCCTGATTTTCAGAGGGAACGGAGATAAACAGTGGAAGAGGTGTTCCTGGGGCCCAGGAGGCAGGCAGCCACGAAGACACTGCCTCATTTGAAATCAGGAAAGTGGGGAGTGGTTTCACATGCCAATGTCCGCTACAGGACAAATGGATAAACAAATGTGGCACGCCTACACCAGGGAATGTTAGTCAACTGTTAAGAAGAATGGAGTACTCATAGGTGCTTATAAAAGAAGTCAGGAACAAAAGGAACATGCATTCATTTATGCGATTTCATTTCTAGGAAATTCAGTTTTCTGGGAGAACCCACACAAACTGCATTAGTGAGTTTCCCGTACTTGTAACAAAACACCTGAAGCTGTGTGCTTTTTAAAGATAGGAAAGTTTTCTATCTCACAGATGTGGAAGCTGAAAACCCATGACAGGTGGCCCCATCCAAACTACCTCTTAAGAGCCTCCTTGGCCGGCAGGCGGCATTCTGGGGGAACTTGCGAAAGAAGAAAGGGTGACATGTGAAAAGGGGAACCAGAGAAGGCTCCGTCAGGCTCCTGCAGACTTTGCCCTTCAAAGGTCCTACCTCCCCTCTGCTGGATGGCAAGGCAGACCCAGACTACAGCATGAGGATGGACAGGTTAGTGATGAAGGGGGTGTGGGCCCAGGAGCCATTAGCTCAGGGTTCTATTCTGTGGTGACAGAGGGGTCCTTGAATTAGACAGTGACTGTGCAACCCTGGAGGATACTGAAAACACTCCCTGGACATTTTAATGTGAGCATTTCGAATGTTCTACAGGTCAGAGAACTTTTTGAGAAGTGGATTCATGACTGGCTATGGAAGGCGTGGTCATCTGTCCCCTTTCCAGGCCTAAGCCAGTCAGTGTCTATTAGGAATGATCACCAACCCAAGGACTGGACAAACAGTCAGCTCATCTCCGCTGGGCCCTGAGGACAGTCTCTGAGGACAGCCCCACACCTCTTGGGGAATGCACAGTTCTGACTCATTCAGACCTTCTAAAAAAAAAACCATATTTCACTCAGGTGGAAAAGGAAGCTAGCCTGAAATTCAGTGACCCTATGTCCTGTGTAGGAAAGGGGCATGTGGGAATCAGGAGACTATGGGGTCTGTACATTAAGCACACAGCCCGAGTCTGTCTCTCTGTCTCTCTCTGTGTTGTGCATTCGTGCATATGTGTGCAGGTGTGTGTGCATGCCTTCATGTGTACAGGTGTGCATTCACGATTGTGTTTAGAGGTCAGAGGTCGATGTCAGTTGTCTTCCCTGGTTGCCCTCCACCTTGGGGTTGTAAAAGACTCACTCACAGAGTCTGAAACTCACCACTTTAGCTAGGCTGGCTAGCCGGTGATCTCTGGAGTACCCTCCTCTCCACCACTGGGACTGCAGTTATGGTGCCCCATGGCAGGTTTTTTTTATGTGTGTACTGATGCTCAAATGCAGGCCCCATGATGGTGTGGCGTGGACTTCATCCTCAGAGCCATCTCTCCAGCCCATGGCCTGAGTTTCTGAGTGGTTAACTTGACCAGGCTTTAGACATTGGCCAAACCCACAGATTCAATCCTTGGCCTGTGGAAAGGGCTGATGCCCAATGGACATCTTTAAGATAGCCAGGAGAACACAAAAATGGCTTACATCTAAGCTAATGGGTGAAGGGGACCATCAGTGAGTGCTGCCCTCCAAGTCTCTGTTGGGAGACTTCTGTAGCTCCTATTCCATTCACTAGTACTTAGCTTAACTCACTGTAATTTAAACCATCAGTGCCCTCCTTCAAAGACCTCATAGAACACGGTAATGGTGCAAACACTGAAAAGTTCACCTGCCTATTTATTGCCCAGTCACAGCTGATGAGCCACATGGGGTCTCTATCCCGGAGTAAGTTTTGTGACAGTTGGTCTGATGAACACTGTTTCCCACTCTAGAAGGAGGACCCCTCCTCTAGAAGGAGGACTCTTATGCTGGGAACCAGGACAGTCCTCCCGAGTTTCCCCAGGGCACCAGAGAGTCCCCTGTGATATTATACTAGAGCTGCTGGAAGGTACGGGCCATATGACTCTTGATCTCCACACGGGACACGATACCATGGCAACCAGACCTGAACAACAGCAGGTGGCAAGCTCCATGGATGGCATGGAATGCGTACTCTCTGGAGGTGAGGACAGCCCTGCCCCACTCATAGGACATGACAGCCGTAGCCCAGGGTGTGATGGGTCAGTCATGGTGGGGTGTACACCCGGGGCAGAAACACAGGCTCAGCGTACCTTTCGGGTCTTGGAGGTGCTACAGTTTATATAAGGCTGAGTGTCCCTTTGGGTTAAACGTCAGGATCTGGTTTCTCAGTGCATGAGATGGAGAGACAGTGGGGGGAACCCTTAGGAGGTGGAGCCTGGTGGGAAGCTCTTACTTAGGCCATTGGGAACGGCTCTCAGAAGGGATTACAAGACAGCGCTCTTGGGACCTATCATACAGTGAGCATTCGGGACAAACTTGACCCCTAAGCAACTCTCTTCTACCACAAGTGGCCCAGTGCCATTGTGATGCTTCGACCATCAGGCCAGATCAACATCTCCACCAGAATTCGGAGCTAGCTAAGCTTCCCCAAGCTCTGGAATTGTGTCGTCACCAGGAAACACACCACACAGAGGCATGCTGTTGCACGCTCAGGAATAGATGGCCACACTCAGCAGTCTCGGGAGGTGTTGGTACACAGTGATGCTCAGGACAGAGTGGTTGTGCAAGGCCGGCTAAGTCTGGAGCTGAGACCCGCAGCTGGCCACATCCTACCACTTATCCACGATACACACCTGTGTCACTCCTCACACCTCCCAGGGGCTGTGGCCAGAGGAGGCAAAGACCCAAGAGTGCTTCATGGGTCAGCTTGGTGTCAGGGCATGCAAAGATGGAGGGCACTGTGCCTCAGCCCCACACAGTGGTTGCCACCAAGTGACCACGGAGGGCCTCATCATTAACAGAGCAGCTTGCAGCACGCAGTCGTTCTCTGCACGTCCAGAGACCACTCTGGGAAAACTCACTCCCTGGCTACCTGACTCACCCTGTAACTTCTCCCTCAGGCCTCTGCACTGGATCTAATGTCTTCCACCACAAGGCTTTTCCTAGAGCTGAGCTGATACCAGCACCAGGCCCTAAACTCCAGAACTCTGAGAGCTAAATGAACCTCTTCTCTTCATACATTAACCAGCTTCAGTTATGTCATTATAGTAAAGGAAATTGGACCTGTGCATCTTTTGTTTTCCTATTTATGTTTTCCTAGATATATTGACGTGTGTGTGTGTGTGTGTGTGTGTGTGTGTGTGTGTGTGAGTGTGAGTGTGTGGTGTATGGGCATGTATGCCTCACGGTTGGCTCTCCCACACTGTGCTGCCCAGGTCAAGTGCAGGGACCACTCTGCTGAGTGCTGAAGCTGGTGAGGGGCAGGGACAGCTCTCCCACCATGACAGTCAGGGAGGGGTGAGGGTGGGGTATCCCTGCCACCATACGGCAGATGAGGTGCATGGCCCGATCACCCATGCCAATAGGGTCAGCTCTGCTGTGCTTCCCAAGAGAGGTGCAGGGGTCTTTTCTTAACTTCTTATTTTCAACTTTTCTCTAGTCTTGTGTTTTGGAAGTCTTTCAAAAAAAATACAGCCATACTTTAAAAATTCTAGCTTCATCTTTGTCTTTTAGTTGGAATACTTTCTATGTACAATTAACTAATTATATAAAGTTAATTGTTGATATAGTTGGGCTAAAATCTGACCTTGAAATTTATTTTTTGACTCTCCTTATTAAGGCTGTATACATATTCTTCAGAACTTTCTTCCATCTTCCAGCAAGTACCCTGGAATTTCTTTTTAAAGGTATTTATTCATTTCATTTTATGTGTATGAGTGACTTGCCTGTATGCCTGTGAGCACCACCTGTGTACTTGGTGCCAAAGGAAGTCAGAAGAGGATGTTGGATCTGGACTTAGGGTTACCAATGGTTGTGAACCACCATGTAGGTAATGGGAATTAAACTCATGTCCTCTGCAAGAGCAAGTGTTCGACCTCTGAGCCATCTCTCCAGCCCCAGAATTCTTCATATAGGTAAAATCAAGAGTTGTTTATACTCACGTTGTTTTTATCAACATGCACACCAGTTCTTAGTATGTAATACATGGACTGTCTTCCCCAGAGTGAGCGAGGATCCGCTCTCAGTGAGACGTTCTCCTGAGGACTGCTCTAGCAAAGATGGCTCTCAGCCATACTACACACTATCAACACCGAGTTCCTCCCGGGTTCTTTTTATGCACCCTCCCCGCACTTCTTTGGCCTTCAATCCTTCCACTTCAGGCCTGCCTCTAAACTCACTCTTCCCTTCGGGAAGAACAGATGGTCACAAACTCCGTCTCACCCTCTTCTCCGTAGGTCTTTCCTCTGCAGCTGTGCAGTGGTTACACCCAGCCCCAGAAGCTGCACACCATGCCCCTGTATTTAGTCGAATACCAGCTCTGGTGTCCTTAGCACGGCTTCTCTGTCACCCTCCTGCTTCAGCTGCACCCAGAGGTGCCAGCCTTCATGTGCACAGGACCTCCACCCTGACTCTCGCCTGGGTGGCCCTGGAGTTTTGATTGTCCCTTAAGATCAAAGGTGGTTCAGAGACCAAAGCATTCCTGTCTTTTCTAATGTGCATTTTCCACAGGAGGCCACAGTCAGTCCTGTAGGTTACTCTAGCCCAAAGTCTCCAGTCCAGGATGCAAGTGACTTCTGAAGCTAAGGCTGTCTGTTTTTCTAATTCACACCAAGGTTCTAGCCAGGCAACACACTAGTGTCTGGGTCCCCTGGGGGAAGGGGGTTGGGATATAACAGCACCAGCAGACCCAGCAGGATTCCTGGATCTGAGGACCTGGCCACTGAGAGGCTCCTAGGAAACTCACCCAGCAGGCAACTGCCTGGATGTTTGCAGGCGGGCCGGCTGGGATCTGGCCCTAACTTTCCTTCCTCTGTCCTCTACTGCACAGTGACAACACTCAGGATGAAAACCAGGCAAGGAGAGGACATGGCGGCCGCCAGCTGGGCTTCTTGCTCCCCCGGGCTTCCAGAGCTATGGGGATCTGGCAGGCTGAGGTGCTGGGAAAACACATTGTTTGGGGGCGTTGCGGATACAGTACAGGGTATTTTTAGCAGATTGTTCTGACTTAGTGAAAAACCTGAAAGATAGTGTTGATGAGCCCCTTGTTTTAGCTCTGCAGATGGCTGGGCTATAATTAGACGCTTGTTTCTGGGCGACTCTACAGTTCTGTAAGAAGATACCTTGCGGGGTGCAGAACGCTTGGCGGGAGGGTGTCTTCTTGGTCTAATTTGGGGCTCAATCTTTTACTCTTTATTCTCAAACATTAACCGTGTTTGTGACAAAAAAGAGGAAGCAATTCATGGGACTCTCAAGCTAATGTCAGTCTGGAGAGAGGTCAGAGGTTGGTCCCCATTTTCTGACCTATTGACAAGCTGCCAGCCACCCTCCTCCTCAAGGTACTTCCTGGGCTTGTGGCCAAGCCAGGTTCTCTAGCTCTCCTGCTCTGACCTTTCTTTCCCAGCAGGGCTTTCATTTGTCATGAGGTGTTTATGTGTGAGACACTGGACTGAAGCCTATGCCCCCTCTTGCCCTTCTCCCTTCATAGGGGAAGGGGCTGTGGCTTTTCTAGTCACAATTGTTCTGCTGTTTACCATGGGAACATGTGCCTTTAGTCCCCATCTCTCTCTCCTGTTATCTGACTCATGCACTCCCTGCAACAGGACCAGGGGCGGGCCTGTCTCTGTGAGTTCATTTCCTCATCCACCAAGAAGAATTAATCAGTGAAGCGAGCCCAGTGCACAACACACGAGACAAGGACCACGTGGACAGACGAGATGTGAGAGAAGACGGACCTTCTGAAGCAGAAGACGGGAGCCAGCCATTCCACTCTTAGGGATGGGGCTGTAGACACAGTCCCAGGCAGCAGTGCCCTCTTGCCCCCACATGCCCCCATATGAGAACAGTCACATAAGGTGAAGATGTGTTGACCTGTTTCCTGTCACTGTCACAAATGCCCAAGGTGACAGCCCTGTCAAGAGCACAGGCTTCTTAGCGTGTGGATTTGGCCTTGTGATGGTGTATCACTGAGGAGTATGTGGTAAAGCAAACAGTTCACCTCACTGGGGAATAAAAGGGAGCGAGAGGTCAGGGGTCCAGGGTCCAACAGTCCTCACAAACCCAGCGACCCCCAAAACTCCCCTTGACCACACTCCATAAATACTCCATAACCCCCACTACATCAGTGGGGCAAATCATTTACCTTACTGATCTTCAGGGGGTGCATAAGATCTCAACACCATTGAGGAGGCGTCCCACTTCCAAGATTGACTTGTGTCTTAGTTTGCTTTCTCAATAGAACACCATGACCAAAGCCAACTTGGGGATGAAAAGTTCTGTTTCAGTTACATCTGAAGTCTAGGTAACAGGGGAAGGCAATTCAGGAACCCTGAGTCAGGGAGCTGAAGCAGAGACTATGGAGGAGTGCCTACTGGCTTGTTTTTTGTGGCTTGCTTGGTCTGGTTCTTACACAACCCAGAACCATCTTCCCAGGGGTGGCACCGCCCATAGTGGACTGGAACCTCCTATATCAATCACTGGTCTAGAAAATGCCCACAGGTTTGCCTGCAGGCCAATCTGGTGCATTGAGAAAATGCATCCACTGAGAAAATTCTGTATCTTCCTGTATCAAGTTGACTAAAAACTAACCAGGAGGGATTGTAAGGTGCCACACTGTGTCCTATGTCTATATCCCTGTCTGCTTTTGCCTGTCTGGTTTCTCATTCTGAGAGAAGTCAAGTCCACAGCAGCCATTTGGATGCCCATGGGTGAGGCGCTGCCTCCCTCCTATAGCCATAAGTAGGGCTTGAAGACAAGCCCTCAGGGGCATCGGCTTCCAGAGACTGCTGTCCCTGTCACCAGCAGCCTGATGGCCACCCGGGAGAGTCTGATGACCATTCAGTCAGAACTTCCAGCTGAGCTATTCCCAGGTGTAGCCCCACCCCCACCCCCTGGCTTGGTGACCTGAGCATGTTTGCTTTCTAAATTGTTCCCTACTCACTGACAGATAACAGACAATACCGCACAATCTGGATTCTGCCATTCTCCTGAGCCAGGGCTGAGGGCTCAGCCACCCTCCTGTAACACAATCCTAATCAGTTTTAACTAAAAACCCAGAGTCAGATATTAGGGCGTGAAAGATGAAAGATCAGAGAGGCAGAGCAGCCAGCCACTAGAGCTCTTACCTCTCCAATACTCACACCGAATAGGCAAGATCCTGTCTCTGAATCCTCAGACCGAATGCCAAGAGCTCCTGTCTCCTCCCACTTTGTATTCCTCTCTCTGCCCAGCCTTGTATGTCCCTTCCTGTCTCTACCTCCCTAGTGCTGCGATTAAAGGCCTGTGACTCCCAAGTACTGGGATTAAAGGTGTGAGCCGTCACCACCTGGCTCTGTTTTTCTTTTAGAGTGGATCAATCTGGTTTAGCCCAGGGTGGCCTTGAGCTCATAGAGATCACTCTGCCTCTGCCTCTGCCTCTTGACTGCTGGGATTAAAGGTGTGTGCCAGTACTGCCTGGCTCTGTGACTCACTAGTGTCTTAGCTCTACACTCTGATCTTCAGGCCAACTTTATTTGTCAGATCACACACAAAATATCACCACACCCTCCCCCAGTAATCTGCAACCCCCCTGCATCTCACCTCTTCCAGGAATCATTTCCTTTTTTCTCCACAGGTCAACCTTTGACCCTTACTAACAGAGGCCTCCCTATGGCCAGCATCCACCAAGACGAGGAGAAGCCAGAGCTACAGAGAATCACAGAAGCCAAGGAGTCTCAGAGGTCTGACCCCTGCCAAAGACAGAAACATGATTTTGGTGACATTTGCCACGGTGGCTATGACTGTTTCCTAAAAGAGGCAGGACCCTCACCCAACCTCCAAGTCCTCTCAAGAAGCCATGCCCTAACTTACTTCTCCAAACCATTAAGGCCCATTTCTCTTGGGACTTGTGTTCTTAAAGGTTTTTCCCAGCAGTCAATGCAGCTGCTGAAGCTACACAAGTTCAGAGCATCTGCGTCTAGGAAGCCTACTAGGCAGAGAGCTTCCATTAGCTATGTACCAGTTCCTTAGGGTTTCCTGAATCCCCCAGCAGCTAGGTGCTACCTACTTCTATAGCACAGCCTTTCTCCCACAC